AGAAACAAACATTACACGTAGTACGAAGTAGATTCTTACTCACTCACACACACAGACAGTAAACAGGTGTATGAAACAGAGCAACTTGGAAACGTTCTTTTTGTCTTAACATACCATTAATGTGTCTCCATTTATTGACCCACTAAGGCACACACAAAAATGATTGATCTATAGTTCACATTTGAGTGACATGTTGTGTCTCATCTGGGAGGTGTCCGAGACGCTGACGGAGTGCAGGCGCCAGCAGACCCGTGTGGTGGCTGTGCTGCAGGAGGTGGCTGCCGCTGGAGCTCAGATGGTCGCTCCGATGGCAGAACAGGAGGGCCTCAACGCCCTTAAACTGGAGGATATCGCCTGCAAGGCTGTGGAGCAGGTAGTTTAACTGTGAATAATCATGTACCATTTGCACACTGTAAACATTGTTTCAGGTCTTTTTGTTTTGTTTATATTGTATATCCATAGTCACAGATGCTCTACGAGACCAAATATTACTTGTATATACTACTTGTAATTTGGATATTTGGAATATTCTATCAAACATTCAATTACATTAAAGTTGTAGGAAGTATACTGGACTAAAGAAGATATCATGTAAGCATCTCCAAATGCTGTCTGTTTTATGTTATGTTTTAAACACTGTGTCCTGTGTTGTAGGTTTTTGGTTTTAAGTTGCAGCTGTTTCATTGTATTATCTAAACCTACACTCTTTTCTCCAAGATGTATGGCTCTCATGGCCTGAATGGCCCGGAGTGTCTGCGTCAGTCCTGCAGCTCCGTCATCATTACCATGAACAAGATGGCCACGGCCATGCAGGAAGGAGAGTATGACGCTGACAAACCGCAGGGCAAGGTATTTGTATGCCTTAACCTTTCACATTGAAATCACACATTGAAATCTGAGCAAATTTCTGCTGTTTGTCACTTCTTCCCCGTTGTAATTGTTACGATTTGATCATGTTCCCCCACGTCCTCAGACTCCTCCAGTGGAGATAAGAGCATCCACAGTCAGGGCAGAGATGACTGACGCCGAGGGTCTAGGAGTTAAACTAGAAGACAGAGAAACGGTCATCAAGGAGCTCAAGAAGTCCCTGAAGATCAAGGTGACGCACTCAAGCAGACACCTCCAACAATTGTCACTCAACCTTTCTCTGCGCAGTGAATTGTTTTGCATCGGCCTGCCACTTTAAAACGATGAATAAGAACAGGAATGCTAAACTGACCGATGTAATTAATGTACCTGTAACCCGTCTTTCCCAGGGCGAGGAGCTGAGTGAGGCCAACGTCCGTCTGAGCCTGCTGGAGAAGAAACTGGACACCTCGACCAAAGACGCAGACGAACGGGTGGAGAAGATTCAGACCAAACTGGACGAGAACCTCGCCCTGCTGAAGAAGAAAGAAAAGTAAGAACGAAAAAGAAGCAAACTGAATAAATGAATACAATCAATCATCGTAGGCAGTTTTCACATCCTTGTCTTGTTTTATCTTTCTCTGATCTGCCCTTCTTCTTTCTTGTGCTTCTTATTTCCCCGCTTGCCCACCTTCCTCTCGCCTCATCTTCAGGGAGTTTGAGGAGACGATGGATGCTCTGCAGGCTGATATCGACCAGCTGGAGGCGGAGAAGGCAGAGCTGAAACAACGCATTACTAGCCAATCGAAGATGACCATCGAAGGCCTGAGAGGCCCACCTGCTACCGGAATTGCCTCCATTGTTCAGGGATCTGCAGGAGGTGAACTACTGTGTGGCCACGGTCACTTGTTGGGAGCAGATCGAAATGTTGTCATTAATGTTTGATAAAAATGTGTACTACCAATCACATTTTGGAATAGTCTCCAAACTTTGGGAAAGCACAGGTTGTCACCTTGATTGAATGTCTGTCACCGTTCACTCTCCAGCTGGTCTGCCTCCGTCCATGACAGGACCGGTACAGGTGGTGGACTCCCCTCTCCTCAGGCAGCAGGTTGAAGCCCAGAGATTGGGCATTAAACACCTCAAGAATGAAAACAACAGACTCAAGGTACACTGGTGTTGGTATATTGTGGCACTATGCTAGCTGTCTGCGTCCTGGTAATATTGACCTAGAGTGTATTTAACCCACAGGCGGAGAAGATTCGGACCCAGCTTGCCTCTCTGCCTCCACTCTGCCCTCCCAAACTACCACAAGTGTCCAAAGAAAGCTCCATGCCACCAGATGGACTTAACACAGGCATCTACCGCAGGACTGACCAACTGCTGTCTACCCTGCTCAAGCTGAGCGCAGAGGTTAAAGTGGTGGACGTCACCGGGAAGACAGCAGGTGTGTGTCTCAGTTTCTAGACTGCTGTGTGTTCATTGCTGTTCTCAGCTGAGTGAACTGGTTCATTTTCTGTCTTTTCCTCTCATGTGTTTCTTCCAGTTAGTGCCAGTGCCCAGCTGCTGGAGCAGACGGCTCGACTGCAGAACCTCAGTAATGCTCTGGACAAACTCAAGGTGACAGTTTCAGAATCATATCTATTCTCCTTAACATGTGAATAAGCTTTGACATTAGGGCACTTTTCTGTTTCAGGGAGAAGTAGCTGAACATGTAGTCTCACATCAGCCTGGAGCCAAGGCTTCTTCTGACTTTGCCACCTTCCCATGCTCCTCCTTTGTTAAGGTAAGACCATAAAGTCCACGGACACACCATCAGTTTCGAGGCTTAACACAGTTTTATCTTTTCTTGTCAGAGGATTTCTTGTTTAGGACATAGCACATTTACCCGTGTTCATGTTTGTGTTGTTTCCCAGGCCAAGGAAGAGAAGCAGGGAGGAACAGTGTTTGTAGGTCGTGTTGCCATTCCATGCACCCGGGGACAGGAACAAGTCCACCACCTCGTCCTATCACAGCAGCAGCTGCAGCAAGTGCACCGTCTCCTCATGGTCTAAGACAGCATGCTATTGGCCCTCTCATTCCAGAGTCCACTTCAATATTCTGCTTTATTTATCCCTTTTGCTTTTCACTACTCTCAGGAAATTGTATCCAATATTTGCAAAGTTAGGATTATAGCACTAATAAATCCAAGCCACAGCAGTGGCTTTATATTGATGTAAGACTGATTGGTGTTTGAACATTTTGAATGAAATCCAAATGGATTTGACTTCTGAATGTCACAGTATGAAGGTGTCATGTTTTCATCAGAAACAGTTTGAATGCACATTTTACCAGCTTTTTGTGTAAAAGGGGAAAGCTAACAACCAGTCATTTTTACTCTACTACGTAGTGATAGTTTTTTTTTTTTTCTTTTCCCCACTTTGTATCTTTTGTATTTGTAGTCATTCAGACAATAAAGACGAGCAATTCACTGTAGAGCAAGAAACGGCTCTTTATTAATGTGTAAATTGTGATTAATGAAGTGTTTTGCTTGGATTTTATCTGTTGACAAATGAGCTGCTCCAAAGGTTAGTGTTATATGGGGCTCCACAGCCAGTTGATAAGTGTACAGTGCATTGGGAAAGTATTCACAGTGCTGTACTTTTGTTACAGCCTTGGATGGATGATTCATTATTTTCCTCAAAATTCTACAAACAATACCCCATAAAAGAAAGTTTGAAATCTTTGCATATTAAAAATGAACAAAGCACATGTACGTAAGTATTCACAGCCTTTGCCATGACACTCAATTTTGAGCTCATGTGCATGTTGTGCGATGTTTCCTACTGATCATCCTTTAGATGTTTCTACAGCTTGGAGTGCACCAGTTGACTGGACATGATTTGGAGAGACACACGTCTGTCTGTATAATGTCCGACAGTGCATGTCAGAGCACAAACTATGAAGTCCAAGGAATTATCTGTAGACCTCCGAGACAGGATTGTTTCAAGGCACAAATCTGGGGAAGGGTACAGAAACATTTCTGCAGCATTGAATTGCTTAATGAGCACAGCGGCCTCCATCTGTAAATGGTTGAGGTTCGGAACCACCAAGACTCTTCCTAGAGCTGGCTGCCTGGCCAAACTGAGCGACTGGGGGTGAAGAGCCTTAGTCAGGGAGGTGGCCATGAACCAAATGGTCACTCTGACAGAGCTCCAGCATGTCTCTGTGGAGAGAACCTTTCAGTGTACCACCATCTCTGCAGCACTCCACCCACCAGGCCTGTATGGTAGAGTGGCCAGACAGAAGCCACTCCTCAGTAACAGGCACGTGACAGCCCACCTGTACTTTGCCAAAAGGCACCTGAAGGGTTCTCAAAAATTGAACTCTTTAGCCTGAATGGCTGGAGGAAACCAGGCACCGCTCATCACTTGGCCAATACCATCCATACAGTGAAGCGTGGTGGTGGCAGCATCATGCTGTAGGGATGTTTTTCAGCAGCAGGAACTGGGAGATTGAGTCAGGATTGAGGGAAAGATGAATGCAGCAATGTACAGAGATGTCCTTGATGAAAACCTGCTCTGGACCTCAGGACTGGGGCAAAGATTGGTCTTCCAACAGGACAATGACCCTAAGCCCACAGCCAAGATAACAAAGGAGCAGCTACAGGACAACTCTGAATGTTCTTGAGACCCAGACTGAACATCTCTGGAGCCATCTGAAAATGGCTGTGCCCTGACGCTCCCCATCAGACCTGATGGAGCTTGAGAAGTCCTGCAAAGAAGAAAGGGGGGAAACTGCCCAAAAATAGGTGTGCTAAGCTTTTTATGTAGCATCGTACTCAAAGACCTGTAATTGGTGCCAAAGGTTATTCAACAAAATAGTGAGCAAAGGCTGTGAATTCTCATGTACATGTGCTTTTTTATTTTTTATACATTTGTGAAGATTTCAAAACAAACTTCTTTCAGGTTATCATTATGGGGTATTGTTTGTAGAATTGATGAAAGTGAATTTCATCCATTTTGGAATAAGGCTGTAACAAAATGTGAAAAAAAGTGAGCGAGAGGAGGTGCTGCACCGCTCTGCAATCAGTTATTTAAATATGTAGTGAGGAAATAAAAATTTGCTTATACTTACCAGATGCAGTGTATAATCATGCTAAAGTGATCCTTCAATCTGTTACAGACTCCATTTTATTTAATTTAAGTTTTTCCCCTCCAACATCAGTAATTTGAGCTTGGTAAAGCTACGTTAGGAACAATGCCTCTGAAGATGCAGAGCCAAAGCAGGTATTAGACAATCTGGTTCAGTGGATGTTCAATGTTTCTGGCTTACGCAAACTGATCCACAGTCTCTACCACTTTCTATGGTTACATATCTCATGTGGAAATAAGTGACTACAATGAGCTGTGTGGGACATGACATCAGAAGGGCCATTCATTTAGAAGATTCAAGTCTTCTTAAATCTTATCAACTTTATTAGAACATAGCACCTGACATTTGATGTGCAGAATTAAAAAGAGTTTGAAATGAAATAATTAAAATCTAACTCAAATTTAAATTTCTAAACAAGTAAGAGTACAATAACAAGAAAAGGCACCAGTGTGTGTCGGAGGACATTCACTGAATTAAATAAAATCTGAGCGTGAACTAAGCAGTTTGGGGAGTAATGCTACCTCCTGGTTACAAGCCTGTTGTATAGTGAAGTGTTAGAACACACAGGAATCTGAAAACAACAATGTACTGCAGATATGGCAAGAGACTGGAGTACTTTACACCAAGTGGAATATGAACTGGTCTGGCTGCTACTGCCTCAGTAGTAGTGGCCATAAGGGGGGTACTGATTGGGTCTGTGATGCATGTATGGAGCATAGTGGTGTCTGTTGTGCCGGTTCCTCATGACGTACTGATGATGGTGCTCGTAGGGCTGAAAGTGGTGGGGAGGCCTGTAGTGGAAAGCTACAGAACAAACAGAGCGTGTTAGTAGACATGTCAGCTTCAATAACTGAATCAGAAGACGCGGACACCTTGATCTAAAAAACACATTTACACTGCAGAGTGAAATTCGACTTGTTGGTAATGCTGACATAAATGTGTCCGCGTGACCAAACAGATTGGAGATGATGCATTTTCATTCAACCACACCAGCGTCGTCACACCTACCATCTCTGGCCTGTCCATGTTTATGCTGACGTCTGTGGACCGGTAGGCGATTTCTCCGTGGCTGCACGTTGTTCTCCTCAAAGTTTAAGTAGCCAGAAGGGAGGGAATCGCTGAAGAACTCCTCCTTGTAGCCGTTGTAATTTGCCTTTGATGGGTGGTGCTCTGTGAAAGGGAGACCAGAGAAGGAGGGGAGGGAGGATAGGATGGCAGAAAAGAGAAAACTCTCCAGTAAAAACACAAGTCTGTGTGACTGCTGTGTTGCCCGTCTTTTGAAATGGTTTTAGATAGCTAAAAAATGTTTTGCAATCATCGTAAGTGAGCTGGAATATTAAATGTGACTTTTGTTTAGCTGGATTCAAAATGACAAAAATCCCCTATGACACAAAACTGGCCCAAAACATATTGAAGTAACCTTTTCAAGTATTCTAAGCAAAACCTCTTTAAAAATTTCATACAACTACTGCTGTCTGTCAGCGTCTAGTCAGTGCCGCAAGTTAGCCAGAGTGTGACAAACCAAAAGGCGGAATTGTAGTCTGTCAACTAGGAGTTGTATTATTACCAGTATTAGGGCCACTGTTAGAACAAAATAGTAATCTCAGATTTCGAGAATTAAGTCCTAAAATAACAGGTTGCTTGGAGTCACATGTGCATGATTCATGTTTCCTGGCAGTCTCTAGTTAGAAGTTTGGACTGCACTGTAGAGTCTTTGACCGTTAGCTCTGTGTTGATGCAGTCTTTGCGCCCCCTTGCTTAGAGACACCTTTGCTCTGTTTGGGACGGTCTCACTGCTCCAGGATGATTCCCTCTGAAGCGACTGAGCTGGCCTTTATCGGAGGTGCTGAAGTTAACATTTGTGTAGGTCTGTGGTGAGATTTATGCCAGTTTTTCCACCTCCGATGAAGAGCAACACACTGGTCATCCAGTACAGTCAAGACGGTCTGATGGTCCATATGAGCAACACAATAACAGTCTAATGCACAGCAGAGTAGGCCTATAGGGCAGGTAGATTATAAAAAAAAAAAAAATTGAATTACTTTTTTCTAGACATGTCAGTAAAAACATAAGCGGGATAGATTTTTAATATGCATAAGTTTTAAACATGAGCAGAAAACCTGCTCAAACACAGGAGCTATTAAAGTCCATTAATTTATCATTGATGTGAAAAGGTGCCACATCAGTGTTTACCTTACATCGATTTATTCTCCCCCTCTCTCCCTCTCCCCTCTCTCTCCCTCCTCCCTCCCTCCCCTCTCCCTCCCTCTCCCCCTCTCTCTCCCTCCCTCCCCCTCTCCCTCTCCCTCCCCTCTCAGTGCTTTATTCTTACCAAAGGCTATCATTTATTTTACCCATATTTGCTTCCCCTTTGTTAATCCATCAATAGAAAGAATCCTAATAAACATTACTGGATGTCTTACCTGCAGGTTTAGTAGCCTTTCCATGGGCTGGCTGCTTATTAGTAACCTCAGTATGCTCTAAAAAACAAACAAAATAATATGAACTCACTCAAGTCAACCCAATTTTATCTCTCACTCAGTCTTTCAGTGGGATTATATATTTGAGCAGCCAGACTCCTCACCAACTGCAGTCAGTGGGCAGGACATGACGACACCCCAGGCCTGTGAAGTGTGCTGTAACAGCAGAGAGGTTATCCTGCGGTGGGCAATGGCGTTCCAGTGGACTCCGTCAGTGGTACGATGGTGCAGGGAGAAGCGGAACTGGAAGTGGAGGTCCAACACATCCATCCCGTAGGCGTCGGCCAGAGTCCCGCTGTAGAAGTTGGCTTCAATTACATCGTGGCGCAGCTGTGGAGCCTTATGCTCAATCTGAGGTGAAGGAGGGAGAGAGGACCGAGCGTTAAGGCTGGTGGAGCAGAGAAATAAGCCTCGTTCCCTCCATAAGTGTGGGGGGGGGGATCTGAATGTAATGAAAATATAACCAAATCGCTTTTACACATTACTGTGGTCATTAGAAGCTTCAGTTCAAAAGATGCAACTCACTTTGTAAGTAATTAGTTTGACTAGACAGGCACTTGTTCAAATCCCACCCCTGCTGTCTTTATACTGTGATCATATTAACTATTTCTATAGTGATCCCAGTTTAACAACGATGTTGGCATATATAATTATTTTTAAGAGTTTTCCTAATGAACGGATTAAAAATTTTGGTCTGTTGAATCTCTGATGTTACAAAGTCTGGTGAAGACCGTTTGCCCACCTGTTGTGTTTTTAGCTTCTTACAAGCTGTGCTGCTGACAGTTGGCTCTAAGGACGGTGACACAGCTACTGAGGCTGATGTAGATGTACGCCTCAGTAGTGGTTACACACATGTCTCACGTCTAATGTGGGAGTTCACATTAGACGTGAGACATGTGTGTAACCATTCATCAATCAATGACAGATTGACCCAACAAGACTATGTCTAGTTATGACGTAGATGGCTGGCGGCGACGTACCTCAGGTACTAGGAAACCACCTCTGAGCCTCTCTCCTAAGGGCATGGTGAGGTTCCATACGACCAGCGTTTCCTCAAGCACAATCCCCCTCAGCTCATCAAAGAACTTATGTAGGTTCTCCTTGTAATCATCAATCCATTTGGAATAGTATCTACAAAGCCCAACAAGATAGATTCAGTGTCACCTTACACCACGTAACAGGTAAGGTAGACAGCTTCAGGTGCTTAAGTGTGGTTCAGGCAAACTTGATACATTCAAGCTGAGCAGTGCTTTGTCCTCTGCCACTGCTGTCCCACATGCACAACATGAAGGACCAAATCTTAACACTTAAATGTGGGCGTGACTTAGTGATCTGTGAAAAGCAAAGCTGGTTGAAGCAGTATACCAGCTATGTGGTTATAAACATCTGTTCACTTTCACCCACGTGGTTAGATCAAGAGGTAGGGAATGAGAGAGAAACTACAAAATTATCTCTCAACCAAACCCTTTTGGATCATCTCCAAATGCAGGGCGAGTCTTCAAAAATAATGTCTTACAGGAAACAGATCAGCTAGGTAGTTGGTACTACTAGTACCATTAATTGTTACTCAACCTACCCACCTTGAAATGTCCCAAACGCAGGAGTTGATAATGATCACATCAGGTTTCAAGCCGTGGCGGAAGTCTTCCAGAATGCTCTGCATGTAGCGGGAGTAGATGCGCGTCACAAAGTAGAAGCGGACCAGGTGGTGATCAGATTGAAACTGCCGAACCTCCCGATACTCCGTGCCATTGTTCATTTGACTTAGACAACCCCCTTCCACCAGGCAGTCCTGTTCAAAGCTCATTTCACCCTGAAGGAGAAAGATAGGAGTATGAGGAAAACAGGAGCACAAGGGGGAGAGAGACAAAAGATACCCGCTTTAAAAAACAAGATGAACGGTTCCAAGTTCAAGTGGAGCAACGTTGCGAGATCAAAGCTTATAATAACACTGAAAAATATTCCTCATGAATGTGGGATTCCTCCCCGTTTCCATCTCCTGTTTATCAGTATGCAAACAGGGTTAATATTGGCCTTCTAAAGATCACTTACCTTGCTCTTGAGTTGTCTTGAAGTGAGATATTTCTCCTTCTGCAGCAGCTGAACAAGGTCCTTATACACAGACCGCTGAACTGAGGATGAAATACAGGGAGCATTAGAGGTGGAAGTTGAAAAACCCAAAGTGACCCGTGGTCACAGCCCAGAGATCCAATTCAGTGGGCTTGCATGCTTCTCCCGACTGTTTTGAAACATACTTGTTCTCTATCAAAGATTATTAGAAAACGGGAGGGTGAATTTAAGGGACTACTCACTGGAGTCTCCCAGCACTACAATGAACTTGTTATGGAGCAGCTGGCTGGCCTGCTGGTGGCTCACACACTTCATTATCTCCTTCTGTTAATTAGAAAGAAACATTTGTTGTTTAACAGCTAAACAGGTGAGAGGGCCATTTAATGTTACATGGCTGACATCACCTGGGCTAACAGCCTGGAGGAATAATCATTCGGTTAAATTACAGAAAGCCACAACTGGACAGGTAACGTTTCTTAATTAGCACTGGTATAAAGCGTTAACGTTACTAATAAACTAGCCTTAGGCTTAAACTAACAGACGTTCACAGATAACTTACTTACCATTATTGCATGTAAGGGCAGATTTTAATAGATTTAAAAGTTGAAGCGAACTACTAACGCTAACGTTAGGCGTTTAAAAATTATCTCGCAGTTGCCACCTTCAGTTTGTCTTTTATCTAACAGCTAACGGTGTCCAACGAACTTTACTGAAAAGTGAATCATCACAACCCGGTTTTAGTTTTAGTTCCAGGACCAAAACCAACCTCTCCAGGTTTAAAGTTGTTTCACATCTCCTACAAGCTAAAAGTTTATGGCAGATGTAATTTTTTTTTTCTACTTTAAAAATCAAAGTTTTAACGTATTATTCTACTCGACTAACGAGACAGACAGTTAACGCAACGGTGCCACAGGTGCCTCCAATTTGATGACGCTTTTAAAGACTGTCGGAAATATCAAATCTTTCTTGGGCACATTCAACAACTGTCTCGCGAGGTCCTTCACCTGTGGTTTGAAATTGACTTTGCCTAGTCTGTGTTTAGTAATAATCAAATTATAAATTCATACATTTCATACACAAACAAACAATATTAAAATTGATGGTAACCTTTTTCTTAAAATTGTACTTTGAAAAGTTCTAACTGTAAAAAACGTAATAAAATAACTATTTATTATTAATATTTCGTATTCCACCATTAAATGATAAATTAATGATTCAAATTTAAAACGGAATTTCAAAATAATAATAAAATAAAGTCTTTTAAATGTAACATTTTGTTATTTCAATTACTTTTGTGTCATATTCTTCATAGCCCATAGCATTAAGTAAAGTAATCGATTGCAACAAATTCTGTTTGTGTTACCCTAAAACTTTATTCAATTAGTATTTGAATTGTATGATTTTTTGAAGAACATGTAGCTCTTCTTTTGAGAGTTCTTTGGTGGAGAAACAAATGACACCCATGAAAAATGTGTCTACTAAGAAAGATACTGTCGATCACATGATAAAGATATACTGGATAAACTGGGAGAAGACCTGGAAATCAAACTTATAAAGTCCATAAATACTAGGGTAAAGAACACTCTCAAATGCCTTTCAAAAATGATTCTTTATTTCATTGCTTTTTGGAAGAAGCTACAAACAGGGAAATAATGGCTCCTCCGTGTTCTTAAAACTGTTTCATACATAACACAACCTCTCTGTTTATCTCATAATAATTGCTTTCAGTAGAAGTCACTGTCATCATCATGATCTGTCACGTGTATCTGATCTTTTTTCTTCTCTTCCTCTTGCTGCTCCTCTTGTTCCTTCCCCTCCTGCTCCTCCTCCTCCTCCTCCTCCTCCTCCTCCTCTTCTTCTTTATCTGTCTCGTCTGCTTTCTCGGTCTCGCTTTTCTGGTGAAACTCCTGGTATATCCCAGTCAGAGCCTTCGCTGCTTCCAAAGACACTTTCAGATTTCCAATCACCTCCTTGTCTTCATCCACACTCAGTACTGGAGGAAACGGGAGACATAGGGGCAGACAGACTGTGAGAAAAATCGTATGTTTCACGCATGTTATCCAAAAAAGGGTATAAAAAGCATCCTACACTGCCTGAGTCTGAAGAAGTGCAATGAAATTGTAGAAAATCTTTACATAAATCTCCACCACCTTGATGGTTGCATGAGTTAATCAGAAGTTTGCTTTGAATTTGTTTTATGAGTCTTGGTATTTTCAAGTCAAACAGCGTCACACAAATACACCTACTGTCAATTTGTTGGTCGATGACATCATTTCCTGTGAGGAGCAGTTCCTGTAGGTCCAGAAAAGCATGTCCAACGTCCACACACTCCTCATCATCGTCCATCGGCTCACTGACCACTGTGAACTTTAACCTTGCCGTGACACACAGACATACACACTTCACTTTTGTGGTTTGGGTCCAGAGACATAAACTGACGTATCCATGATGTAATACTTGAAATACACAAATGACACTACCTGCCCTGGTTGGGGTCGGCGCCCTCCAACATGGTGTAAAGATACTGTCTGAGTGGAGCTGACTGTGAACCATCGACATAAATTACTGAGACAAACAGAGAGAGTTGGGGTTTATAAAGGAGCTTTGAAATGAAAACGTTGTAGACACAAACATAGACAAAGCCACAAGTGTAACCCGCTCTCACCTCGTGTGAAGTTGTAGTGAATCTCCTCCCCCTCGATGGGTTTGCGGAGGGACATGGGTGTTTCTGTCGTCTCCATGGGGACGCCCAGCAGCCGATATTCTACATAAACACGCTGCACTGACTCGTCCAGTGCAATGTGTGAGGACGGTTCAAATGTCAGGGACAGAATCTCCACCCTCAGCTTGTCTCCCTGAAACACAAGTCGTAAACCTTTACTGACGCTGATGAAACACACTGACTGACATATTCATCTCTTTGTATCATAACATCTGACCAGCTCATTGAAAATGAGAGGTCAACCTTATGCTAGATCCACAATAATAGCACAATGTGATGCTAAAAAAATCCATTTTTCTCTTTCATTCATTAATTTCCTCTCACCCACACAGTTATTTCATTTTTACCTTCCTCATTTTTCGTTTTGGTGGAATGATGATAATGTCGCTTTGTGAGGAACTTGACTCTGAGGACTCTGGGGCCTCACTGTCTCCTGCAGCAACTGTATAGTCAGAGAATAAAAGGTGTTGAGGTCAAATTGGTTATTATATAATCCTTTGCACATTTAAACAATGGCAGAGAGGGGCTTCAAATTACTGCTCTATATGAAAAGTGCAATGAGATAACTTTTGTTATGAGTTATGCACTCCATAAATAAAATAAAATTTAATTGAATTAAAAACTCAAAGCAGGTATTTAAGCCTGTTGTGTGTATATGAACAGTTACCGCTCTCACTCCTCTCCTCTTCCTCCTCCTTTTGATCCATTGACACTGGACTGACAGAGGGAAGATCCTGAGAAGAAAAACATAATTTTTTTTACTAATATGTGTTTCCAGGGAAACTCTACCAGATGTTTTTTTCAGGCCCGTTAAGAGAGAGAACGAAGTCCTACCTGAGTCCTGGCATCACTGGCAGAGCTTCTCCTCGACAGTGGTGTAACAGGTGATTGTCTGGAAGACGTTCCCTCTGAAGATCTTGAAAAGATTCAATTAAGATAATTTAAATTTATATTTTTATATTTTTTAGTAGAGATTAAAATTTACATTAGAATGCATTAACACATTTAATCTTGTTATGTATTTTGAATATTTGCCTTGAAATTTCAAATCAAAACTATTAAAATCTGTTTACACTTTTTGAAACTTCCTCAAGATCATCAAGCCCTACAATAATAAGAAACTCAGCAACTTACTTGCTTGTTGGCAATTGTGCGGGCGTGATCAGTCTCGGCTCAGGTGTCCGATGGGGTGTGCGCTGGTAAAAAAGGTCAGGTGGCCTCTTGGTGGATCTCTTCCTGGCTGTGGACTGGCGAGCGGCCGGCGGTCTCACAGAGATGGGTTGCTCTGGTCGTATGTTCTGTGAGCTTTTCTGTTTGACAGATGGAGGCTGAGGCTGTAAACGGATGAAAATACTAGTAAACAAAAGAGTTTTTATGCTTCAATCATCATGAAAAACTCACAGTTCAGCTGTGAATTTGATACCTCCCTGGGTGCTTAAAACCTTACCATTGCTTTAGTCTCTTTCTGGACTGCTTTGTTTTCTCTTGGTTCAAGTTGCTGAGTCTGTAGTAAAACCATAGAGGAACAAGTATTAAGCAAGGGTACGGGAAGTGTCTTTGAAGAAATCATATATTTTAGTATTTACACTTTTTTGAGGACTTCAATAACCAAAGTGCACTGACATGATGTTAACTGAACGAGGACCATTCCTTAAGATGGTTAAGATTGTTATTGCTTTTTATCAGTTTATTCACAAACAAAAGTACATAAAATACATGTACAGTTCCCCCAGAGCGTTACTGGTTATTCCAAAACCTTTTGACACACTGGAATAAATAATGTCACCTTCAATCTGGGCTTGGCTATGGGCCTCTGCGACACTTCAGCCGCCTCTCTCCTCCTCTCCTCCCTCTCAGTGCTTTCCATTGCTCTGTCCTGTCTTCCCTGTCCATCCAGCACGATGTCCACCGATTGTTGGAAGGGGTACTTCCATTTTATCATGACCTTGACCATGCCCCGGGGTCCGCCTGCTGGATCCCTCAGAACATAGTCACCTGGCAGGACAGAGGTGAAAAACAGATAAAAGCCTTTTCAAACTGCTGACTGGGAAGTGTGCCGTTCTGGTTCTTGAACAATGATACAATACTTCTAAAATGCAAACAGCAATGTTTCAGAGGAATCCGTATTAAATGACATGTATCCACCTTCATCTAAATGAATGCCTTCTCTAGTAAAGGATGCAAGTCAATAATGTCATTGTTCTGCTTTTCTCTCTCCCTCACCTCTGATCTCTCTGCCTGTAGCCAGGGCTCGCAGCGGGATGGGGGTCTTGGCCAAATAGGCAGGAGGTATCTGGTCATCGCTGTCATCAAACACATACACCCACAAACTGCTGGACCTGGGCAAAAGTGGAGTTGAATGTCGTCAATATTTTATGAATATATGGTTATTTAAAGCACTAACTTTATAAGAACTGAAAAGCTTTATAAAAGCTTTTTATGCTTTATGCATTAATTTGGCTTAACTTAAGAGGTAAGAGACAACTTAATTGCTAAATCAAGACAAAAAAACCCTTATAAAAGAAAGAAGGCTGAGTCACAAAAGGTAAATGCCCACTTCAATATAATCTGAATTTCTGACTTTTTTCCCACTGTTTCCAGACTATCATACCTCAGGTAATGCAACACATCAGCTGTTACTGCTAATGGGTAGCTGGTGGTATCATTGAACACCGGGTCAGCGCTGTACTGGACTGTTTGAGACACGTGAGGAGGCAGGTCATAGAACCGGTATGTCAGGTAGGCATCAGGAAGAAGTCCAGGCCAGCGAGCATTAAGGCCCACGCAGCTTTCCAACATAACCACCAACTCATTGGGGATCCCCCCACCGTAGTCATGTGACTCCTGCAGACAGCGTGGAAAATTTAGATTTAAAAAAAATCAGCAGCATCATATGTTTCCAAAAAACATGTCCCTGTTACTCTGATTAATCCTCAGACAGTTTTCTTAGGTAAAAAGTAGTTTTAAAAAATGTTCATAGGTTGGTCTGTGGATTACCCAGAGTAACCGTGACATTGTTTCTAAAAAAATTTACATCAAAAATCAATCTGGGGAAATAAAACCTGCATGGCAACATACCACTTCAGGAAAGTGAGAAAATATCTTATTTATATTTTACAAATTACAAATCTGTTTTTTTGATTTTGTTGTAAAGTTAGTGTAGTAAAGTTTTCTCCAAATACACATTCATCATACATACTGTCTAGTATAAGCAGACGGACTGAGTGATGTTTATTTGCACTACTATTTCAAAATAATGCCCATTAAATCCCACTCTTACCTCATGACCTGCATCTTGCCAGCCAAGAGGGATCTGCACAGGTCTCCTCTGTGTCGCTGATCTCCTGTCAGCTCCTCTCTCTACCACAGGGCCTATGGGCTCTGCTGGATTAAACAGGCGTGCCCAGAAATCCACAACACCAACAATTTCACCCTCGGAGCCTTGGAGAAAGACATGGGTTCAATGGAGATTACCACACACATTATGTAATACATAAGAACATTACTTCACAATCTATATAGAATATCTTTATATTGGCAATCGCTGCATGTTAATAGAAAAGAAGTATATTACTCTATATACAGAATTACTCACCTGTGATATTGACATGGGCCCCAATTCGCTCTCCTCTCCTTTCCATGGCACCTATGAGGGACATCTGCCCACTGCCGTGTGTCACAAACCTGACTCCTCCTAACGCCTGGTGGAGCTCAACTCTGACCCTTGACCCCTGACCTCCCAGCCTGCCCAGATCTCGGGCTGTTAGAGCGTAGCGGGACGTGAAGCCGTAGTTGGGTTGGCTGCCTGACACCAGAGGAGTGGAGTGCACCTCAAAGTCCAAGAGGCTGTAGGTGCAGAAGGTCACAATGTCTTCACCCCTGTCCACACCTGGACGGATGCTGCCCATAGTACGAAGCCCTGCTGGGGTGAAAGTGGCGGCCTGGAGGTGCAAACAACAAACCAAAACATATATCATGGAAAAGATGGGCTCCAATTGATTTTGAATGAAAAAACATCTGAGTTTTTTGGACCTTAAGGTGGATCTCCAAAAGGGACTCGCCAGCCCTCAGCTGTGAAAAAGACATGTCGTCCTCAATGGGCTGTACCATCTCCTCGTCTCCAGCTGGCCAGGTATACTGTATTGGTATGGTCCGTTTGTAGTTCCTGGGGCTGTATGCTAACTCTTTCAACTGGGCTGAGTACAAATTTTAAAGAAAGAGTTTTGAGATTCTGAAGGTTTCACTTTTTTTGCTGCACATGCTAACTACACATGTCAACACTAATCACTTCCTGTATGCCAATCAATCAGTGATAGACAGCACAGAAGTAGCTGATTAGGACATATATCGGACTTTCTTGTTCTCTTACTTCTGCTGTTTCCACAGAAATAAATTACCTTGTAAAGTATTGATCTGAAGCGCTCTTTTTGATAAAAGTTTGTCTTTCTCAACCATCCTCCTCCTGCTGTCCTCTCTCTCTCTCTCCATCCTCTGGTTGACTGTGTTCAACTCTTCCTTGGGAAGGAAAGTTTTCATTGGAGTTCAGTTCAAGTTTAGTTAAAATGGGAATAGACACAGGTGAAAGGAAGCCGAAAATGGACTCACAAGAGTATCCATGTTGATTACAGTTTTGTGTGGTGCACATGTATTTGACAAATGTTTAGTATATATGTGTCTGTGTACCTGCAGGTCTTTACTGATACGGTGCTCCAGCAGCAGAAGGTTTCTGGTTTTCTGTAATTCCAGCACAGTCTCGGCATGCGACGCCTGGATGTTTACCAGCTCGCGGGGCGAATCCTCCACCTTCCCATCAGCCCAGAGGAAATGCAGCCCAACCCTGCTCTCCTGCTGCATCCTGAATGCCTGTAGTTTGAAGGAAAGCATGCAACAAGGATTAAAAGCATTTTATTTTCTCTTTTAAAGCAGAGGTTTTAAAAGAGATTAAAAAATCGTGCAAACCTTGATCTGCAAAAGAGTTTCACTGAGCTCCTCAATACTCATGTCAAACTCCTGGAAGAGAGAAGAGAGAGATGATGAAAGCTGTGTCAGGATATGTGCTAAAAACAGGAAACCAACTAAGAGACTTATGTGTGAAACAGCTGTTCAGCAGTGTATTATTCAGTTCTTCAACTCTGACCTTGGTGACAGAGTCCAGTCGGTCCTGCAGAGAAGAAACCTGCTCTCTGTACTGGACAACCTCCCGTTCCAGGTGCTCTCGTTTCTCCCTTGTCATCATGGAAAACTCTAATCCCAGGAAACATAAATAAATGGCTCTTTAAACTGATGGATTTTTGGAGAATCTGTTGAGAATCCTGGACGATTTGAGGCTTTTGGTGTTTTAGGAGTCTAATTTAGTTAGTACATGCTGAGTCTCCTACCTCTTTCTCGCTCCCTCTGCTCCTCTAATATGTCCCTCTCCCGTCTCAGTTTCTCCATCTCCAGCTCAAGCCTGCCTCTCTCTTCCCTCTCTGCCTGCAGCACGTCCTCCAGTCTCTGGATGTCCGTCCTGCAGATGTTTTCTCCCGGTTTCTCCCTCTTCTGCTCTGCTTCCTCTCTTTGTTTTTCCACCCGGCCATCGTGGTTGCTTTGCACAGATAAAGTACTAAGAAAGAAACATAAAAGGAGAAACATAAAATGAGGCATTGTTAAATGTTAGGAATACATGGGTAAAGGACTTTAACTCTCACCTCTCTAGTAGAGTGTCATAGTTTTCTTTTATTAGATCTCTCTCTCCCTCCAGGTCTGATATCCTCTCTTGTAGCTGAAAGAGAAAGAATGAAACCTTTAAAAAGAAAAAGTGACAGCAGGTGACGTGATCTCTGGTCTCTCCTAGTCAGGATTATTACATGCAGATACAGATGCAGTACCTTGTCCAGGGTCTGTAGAGACATGGTGGATGTGGTAAGTTGTCCCTCCAGTGCCAGTGCTCTCTGTCTCTCCTGCTTCAGCTGTTCAGTCAGCTCCTCGACTTTCTCCAGCAGAGCTCCCTGGCTTTCCCTCAGTGACCTCTGACTCTGGGGTGAACACATGCCATGTTCCAAATTAATATGAGCACTAATTCATTTCTGGGTAAAGTAGCAGTTGTTGTTTGATTCTTGTGTAACAGAGCTTTTACCTCCTCCAGCTGATTCTCATAGGCCTGGCAGGAAGGAGAAAAGGCAGAAAGAAAGATATTTAACTTTTGACCAATTAGAGTTTAAGCATAAACGATTAAAGTAGCTATTAAAGTGAAATAATGTAAGTAGAAATTAATGATTTATAGAGAAATGATGTCATCTAACCTCTTGCAGGTTGTTAAACTTCTCCTGGGTGACTCTCAGGGCGGTGCTCTTGTCTGAAAGCTGCTTCTGTAGACGGATCAGATCCACGTTCTCTCTAATAGTTATTCTGACAGAGACATACAATGTTACCACATCATTTACCATTTTTATTGACATGGCTGTATAAGCAGTTGTAGCAGTAGCTGCAATAAGAGTGGGTAGAAAGAGCACTATAATGTGTACATACAGGTTTAAAGTAGCAGCACTGTAGCAAAGTACACTGAAATATATTCAAATAAAACTAATTTACTGATTTATAAATATATTCCAAAAAGTAGAGGAACACAAAAAATGCAATGCACTCCTCCACCAAGTGCACTAGCTGTATAATAGCACAAGTGATTCTAGTAGCTGTATTTCTGCTGTAGCCACCTGTGTCTGTCAGACTGCTGCTTCCTTATGTCTTTCACACTTCCCTCCATCGCTTTCTCTCTCTCTCTCAGGGTGTCTCTGAGCGCCTGGACAGTCAGCTCCAGCTCCGCAACCCTCACCTCCTCAGTCATACTGGACCTGCTCGGAGGGAGAGATGCGGAGGGGCAGAGGGAGGTCAGGGTAGAGTCACAAGGCGGTTGGGGAGTGAGGGAGGGATAGAGGAAAAAGAAAGAGTCAGGGAGTAGAATGAGGCCGAAATGATGAAGTGATCAGAGGATAGAAAACAGGAGGGATGAAAAAAAGAGGGATTTGTTTAACAGGAGTGCAGTGTGCAAAAGTGAAAAACAGTCTGTGGGTTTGGCAGGAAACTGCTTGTATGAGAAGTTCTCCAGAGAGCTATTGCACTTACAATCTCTCCATCTCTGCCCTGGTGTCTTCCAACGTGGGGCCATAGCGTGGCGGGGCAGTCTGGGCTGCCCTCCTGACCCCGCCCTCCACTTCCATACTTTTACCTGACAAGAAGAAGAGAGGGAGGAAAGTCAGAGGTGGAAGAGGACCTGGACTCCATTCACGTGCAATATTTTTTTACAAAGCAAACGCACCTTTACTGAACTTGTATGGCGTGCGTCCCCCGAGGTCCATAATGTGCTGCTTGGCCAGGCTGAGTTTATTTTGTAGCACACCTTTCTGGCTCTCCAGCATCGCCACACGGGCTTCCAGCTCCTGAATGGTGTCCTCCATGTCCCTGTCCTTCACTCCAGTGGACCCAGGACGGGCCTGACGAAGACGCATCAGTCTGGTGGACATCCTGAGGCAAGAAGGAGGAGGTTAAATCAGCCGTATTCGAGGACTTGTCTTTAGCAGTTATCGCTTTAAATTACATTCTCAAGCTGCAGGAGAGATGATTGTCCCAGCTACTCTGAGATACCACAGTGATGTGCCCAATTCTGCCCAATATGTCAGGTGTTATAGCTGCAGTCATTAGGGTATGTGTCAATGTTTCTGTGTTAATGCGCGTTACCTGCGTAGCCTCTGCTCCTGTGTACGCGTGTGCTGTTTTAGCACACTGTTTTCCTCTTGCAGTCTGAGACACAGGTCCTCCAGGTGCCCTCTGGGAAACCGAAACAGGCGCTGAGGATCTACTGAAGAGCCAGCCAGGAAAAGAGAGATTTAGACAGCCAGAAATATCCAAAAAGCACTTTCTATGTATGTTTGATGCATAGATAATTAAAGGGAAAAGACAGTTTTGCAACATGGTTTTACCTTTCGTCTTCATGACATGCTGCTTCTGCAATGCCTTCACATCACGTAGAGTATCTGGGGAAAACAGCAGGAAGGTGACATACGGACAAATTTAAGATCAAGACTGTCTGTATGTCTTCACACACACGCACTTCTATTGCACAATTGAAGGACCTTTGAGTCAGTCAATTTTCTTTGTAACTAACTGTCTCTCTTGCACCTAAATACCTAAACTTAACCTTAACTTAAAGCTACTGTAGCTCACTGGATTTTTGTTGACAATGTACACAATCTGGTGCATCCTCACTAGATCATTTGCTCTGTTGCATTTTAAATTTAATTTAAAGTCAGGCCAGTTGTAGTTGTTTTATGTGCAACATTGGTGAAATCTTAACAAATTATAACATTAAACATTTTCAATTTCCACAGGTAATATATCTGATGGATTTTTGGATACTAAACATTGCAGCACGATTATAGCAGAGAAATACTTATCACCTGAAGTAGTTCCATAATACCCCTGTCTGTACCACCAAATTGAGTTCAATGTACAAGGTCAGCCTTCTACTAATACTGACTTGCAATCCATAGATTCATTTGGGAGTTCATTTTAATTTCTATTTTGTCATAGCTTACATTGAAAATTAAGAAACAGGCCTGTCAAGCAAAACTGATCGTATCAGTGTGTATCATCATGTACACACAGACACACACCTGGGACAGTTGGCATCAGTCCCCCCCTCATCAGCCCCACATCTCTGACTGGGAGATCCCCGGCTGTCTCATCCATCGCTGGCGACATCACACCTCTCCACTCAGACTCCAATCAGAAAGCTCTGGTATTTGAAATGTCACATCAGCAAACTTGGGATGTCGACATCCAGGACTGCAGCAAAACAGAGAAACCATGACAGTATTCAATCTTGAGACCAACATGTGTTATATTTATATTTGTGTAATTATAGAGCCTTGAAAACATCATTCCCTTCCTCGTTTTTGCCTTTATGTTGAATGCATTGTACACTTCATCACTTACTCTGCTGTAGGGCTTAATGAGATCCAAGCTGCTGGAAGCAGTGCTTTCCATTACACACATACAGAGATCCACTTTAAAACCAGTTGTCATAATTGCAAAAGGTAGGAAATACAGGTATGCAAATGTAGTCTCAGTGACTGAGGTAATTAACTTTTTCAGTGACACTTAAACTCACAACCTAAATACTCTGAACACACTGTGTGTAATCTGCTCAAGCCGAGAGAAGCTGTCATCCCCAACTGTTTAAGTTTAGCTTAATTGTACATTTTTAAAGTTATGGGTCAAATGTGGCAATTCATAAAAAAATCATAAAAATGGTTTACTGTTTGATGGTCTACATTGCTGTGCACTTAGTGATAAACACCAGAAATCATACCGGTAGGTTGGTTTGCATTTTGATATTCCCTCCTTCAGTAACAGACATCAACGCTGAAAACTATAGTATCAAAATATTTGACTTACCCTTGTTGGTTGGCCATCCAAAGAAGTTTTACCTCTGGTAAAGAAATGCCTAGTGCTCTGGGTGTTGTTCAGTATAACCTACATGTGTCTCCGCCCTGTGCTCGGATGATATCAGTTTTAATCCGTCTTCATCCCTTCTTCCTTCCCCCTTTCCCAACCCCTTTTAGCTCTCTCCTCTCTCTCCTAATTGAAATTCTTTCAGGAATTCACAGCAGTGTTACACGATTACTTGCAATGACTGTGTGTTTGCGTGCATGCATGTAGTTCAGTGACATGCCAGTGAGTGTACAGTATGTGTGTATAATGCCTCCTTCCAAGACTCAAACCTGAAGTCTGTCTCGGTGCTCCATCTGCTTTGATGCTAATCCCATCTCTGTGCTAATCTGATTACAATCTAAGACGTGGCCTGAAGTCAGTTTTGTGGTTAGAATGCAATGACTGGGGATAGTTATTATTGAGTGAGGCATGTCTAAGATCTGTGCTCATGGTGTTACTTTTTAAGCGTGCACAAGTGAAGGGAAAAAGAAAAAGGAGGAGGAGGCGGGTTACAACAGATATTTTATATTGAGGGAGGGTGGCAAGTCAGAAACAAGAACTGTGATCCATGTGAGAAAGTAGTTATTGTTGTGAATGAATAATCAAATAGTGATGAAGAGCAAAATCTATCCTTTAATATAAAATACTGATTGTACCTCTGCACACAAGATTTAGGAAGGCAGTGTTTAAACATCATGAAGCAAAAAATACAAGTGTTTAGGTGACAAATGAAGTCTATTTATTGTACACTATGTACAGCCTTAATCTAAAACACCATGTATACCTTCGGGTTCATTGCTGGCAGAATAAACCACACTACTGCTTGATACTTCGGTCACATTTAGAATAACACAAAAGTTGATTTGTTTCATTTCAGTTTACAAATGGTGTAGGTCACTGAGGTGTAATTAAAATGTTCATATCAACACAGAGCAGTTTTATGCGGTTTAAAACAAAACACCATGACTTGCAAAACAGACGCTGAATATCCATTTCACATCAAATTGTTATGTCATCTAAATCCTCGCCTCCATTGACCACACTGACAGGGCGGATGATAAGAGGCGATTTGTTGCACCCGCTGTCTCTCATATCTGGGTTAAAAAAGGGAAACATGGCGTCAGTGAATTGGAAGTGTTTAAAGGAATAGATGTGTAACTTGGCCGTTGCATCGTAAAAGGACAACGTCCCGTCCTCGTAATCTAAAAACACCCCAACAACCTGCGGCCTCTGAGGCACACACAGCAGCTCCGCCTGTCCTGCACATGCCCGGTATTCACAGCCCTTCCTCAAACAAATAGCCCAGTAACCGTCCTCTGGACTCAGTGTGACCACGCCCTTCCTGTTGACTGACTCTCGAGCTGCGCCCAAGTCCCACGCTGTTTTGTCTCCCACTTCTACCTCCCAGTAGTGCCTCCCTGTGGTGAAACCCTGCGTAGCAAGAGAGGCTCAGGTCAGTGGGACTGTTCATCTCTCAGAGAGTGAAAAAGAACAGACATACCGTCCCTACAGAGATGAACACAAAGAAACCACATCTTTATTTACCCTGGTGGCGAGGACACATGGTGCCGTGTCAAAACGCTCAGGTATGTCCACCAGGTTCTGTTCAACATCTCCATCCCAGACCTGTCTCCCATCCTCTGACAGAACCAGCCATGGGTTGGCTGTCCCGGGGTCCAGATGTACATCAGCTGGTAGGCAGACATAGTTCATATGGAATTTAACTCCACTTTAACTTCTTTCTTATAAGATTAAATTACTATTTTTATTTGTAGTTTCCATCTTTGAGGCATCCAGAAAATACTGTAACAAATACTTGATGAAAAGTCACTAAATCACAGATTCTGTCAGCGTTACAAAGAGAAGTAACATCGGGCTGCATGCAAGTTAGCACTATTTTTAAATGTCCTATAGAATACAAAAGGATTTGGAGTTTTGTTGGTTGTCTTGTGGCTCAATAATAAAAAGTATTTAATATCAGACCTCTTTTATGGGTGACAAATCAATCAAACCTAATTAGAGCTTAAGCAATGACTAAATTATTCCATTGTCAGAAAATGAATCAGAAAGATTTTGGTAACTGATTAATAGATTTAGTAATGTATCGGCAACAAAAGAGAAGCCATTGTTGCCATACATTATGTTTTGATTTTGTTGAGAAACAGGACAAAAGATGTAACTATAGGAGAGAGACTATTTTACTGTCTAATCCAGCTGTACCTGCATACTGCTGCACCTTCTCATGCTCTGTAAGTTAATAAGAACATATGATCGAAAAAACAAAACAAACAACGTTCATATATTCAGTCTGCAATCATGACATTAAATGTAAGTAGATGTTGTGTCGCAGAATGCACTGATGCTGTCAAAAAATCTTTTTAGACGTTGACCTTGAATGGAAAGCTTCTTCAAAGCTGATTGAAGCTGCTCTTCAATGTCGGCCACCGCTCTCCTGACAGTCCCCAAACATGTTTCTGAATGGACGAAGATGTCAGAGCAGGCTTTGGCAGGTGGAGCAGAACTCAGAGCTGAAAACCTCTGACACAAAGAAATCAAATAAGAGAGAAAAGTAATCTGGTAATTAGGACAGAGGACAGGAAAAAAAAAATCTACTATCCATCAAACTCCACTTAATTTTTTTTTAGAAAACTCTCAGGCATCTCTGTTTCTGCTGTGGATTTCTCCCTCTCTGACTATAACATATCAAATCTCTTGCTCTACTGCTCTTTACCTGCAGAAGATGGAGGTGGTCCTCAGTGTGAGAAAGCTGCTCCATCTCACTTCTCTTCCTCTCCAGCTCAGTGATTTCCAGCTCCAGCTCTGCAATGAGCCTCTCTGCCCTCTGCTCTGCTGCTGCCTGCTTCCTCTGGATCACATCCACCAGCTCAGCCTGACTTCTCTCCATGAAGTGAAACAGAGTGGAGAAGACCTCCATGCTTTCCACTATTTCCCGCTTTGAGTTTTCCTGCAGGCATTGGATAATGAAATTTGAATGAAATGGATTGTGTAAAAACCTCCTCCACTCAAAAACATGTTTGCTTGTCACTTTATCTCAATGTTTGAGCTTCACTGTGCTGAGTTTAATACTAAAAGTCATCTGCTAAAAATGATAAACTTTCCAAATGAAAAACAATTGCATATTCACAGCTTCTGGAATTTTTAATGTGGAGAAGGAGTAGATTTCTAACAATATAATTAAATTGTATTTTTAGGAACAAAATAATATTTTCATATGTCTTCAAAAAGTTCTGCAAGGGATCTTTAAGTATAAACAGTAGTACCAATACATTCAACAAGTATTGCAGTATCAAATAATAGTACTAGTATAAGTAAATACAAAGCAGAATAATGATATATTTGTTATAGATGTTTTGGGACTATACTGTATATATATACTATACTTATATTTTTTAATGTGAATCTTTTGGGCAGTTTTCACTTCTGCTGCAATAGCCTAATCTTCCATTGCCCTTCCATGATCTTATGTCAACTCACTTTGCTGAGCTCCACAGAGTGTTTGATCTCCTCCACTTTCTGCAGTCTGCCTTGGATCACTTGCTGAACATCAGCCTGGATCCTTTTCAACTGAGCCTGAACATCAGAACAAGAATTAAAACCTGGAATCAAAGTCCAGGCTGCCAGTGTATCTGGTGGGATGATGGGGAGTTTTGGACCTCACCTTTTTCTGCTGACTCTCTCGCTCCACTGGGACGGTGTCATGACTGCGGTGGTCGGTCTCCGTGCACAGCACGCAGACGCACCTTTGGTCGCTTCTGCAGAACAGCTCCAGGAGCCGCTGGTGTTTTTTACACATCCGGTTCTCCAGCGTTGCCACAGGTTCAATTAGCTTGTGAGTCTTCAAAGTGGAAACTCTCAGGTGTGGCTCCAGGTGACTCTCACAATATGAGGTCAGACACACAAGGCAGGACTTCAGGGCCTTTGTTTGCTTTCTCTCGCATACATCACAATTGATGCATTTCCGTGCCATTGGCATCCCGCCATTCTGCCTTCTCGCTCTGATCTTCTCTGACATTTCCTTGGCAAAGGAGTTTTCACAAAGCTCTGGGCGGCCCTCAAAGCCTATCTGACATTTGGGACAGCTGATGGCGAGGCTGTCATCCCAGTGTGAAGTGATGCAGGCGAAGCAGAAGCTGTGACCGCAGGGGATGGAGACGGGCTCAGAGAAAACATCCTGACAGATACAACACTGAAACTGCACCTCTGACAGCAGAACACTGGGGGAGGCCATCACCTCAGAAATAAAGAAAGATCAGTGGTAACTGATTATGAATAAGAAATTAATTATTTACATCTTGAGTCACAGAGTAAATGTGTTTTGGTAACATTAACATTAATGTACAAAGCATATAGATTTCTTTTCAGAGCTTTAATCTTTGTTGTTTTTAATGCCGGCAATATACATACTTTTATTACAACCAGAAACATCTGAACTTCCTTATCATGAGCTTTAAACAATTCAAACCTGTCCACTGGCCAAAGTCCAGCTGAATTGTCACATGACTCAGCCTCTCACTCACTCAGAGGAACTCACTCTGTAAACTTAGCTCCAGACATGGATTGAATACACCCATTAAATCCAAAGACTAACATGCATGCTCCTTTCCACCCAGTGTAATTCATTTTCCTGCGTTTGTGTTTTATTAATGTACCACACTCCCATGATCTACTACACACCCCACCAGGGGATGCAGACTTCAAATATTAGTCCCTCCTATTTGCCATTTTACCTGCCCGGCACAAGACAAAGCAGAAACATCATTGAAATGATGGGACCTGTTTAATCAAAATGCTGAGACACACCCATCTGATATTTGTCTTGGTCTTACCTTGTTGCTGAATGTGAAACGTGACCTCTGAGGTAGCAAAGGCAAACGCTGGCACTGCAGTTGCGAAACCAAAGTCCTCCCCGTTTCTATCACCACTCCCTCTGGGCCTTTTTTTCCCTCCAGAGCTTTTCAACCACCATGTTGTTCCACGGGAGGGAGGAGTAAAAGATAGATCAGGTTCCTTACTGGGACTGTATTGTGTAGTATTTCTTTGTATTGTATTATTGTGTATTGTTTTTATTGGAATGAGAAGCAACAAGGAAGTAACTGAACAAAGCTCACTCACATTCAGCATTTCACCATTCCAAGGCTCTTTATTTCAAATGGACAGAAATGTACATTCTCACACATGATCTTTTATACACTGTTATAATACTACAGCAGTAATATCTTAACACAGCTGTAACAAATTTCTAAGCAGGGATGATGTGACTATTACAGAGAAGTTGAGGTTAGTTCAGTATTTTTCTTTTGGGAGTAATCCCTGCTAGCGCAAACATTGAAGTTGTATACAGTTCTTTCAAAACATAACATTAAAGCACAAACAAATGAAAATTCATAAAAATCCTGGATCAAGTGACCTCTAGCTCACATGCCATGTGTTTTTTAGGGGAATTCCCCAAATAGGTCAAACTACATTTCACTGGAATCGGATAAAATGTCTTTCCTATCATGTTTTCTTCATCTGCTTCAAGGAAAGCAATTCAAAATGTGGAAAGTCTGAATAACTTATAAGAACTAATAAGATCTATTCTCTGCCATTTCATCTTGTCTTTCCTCCGGTGATCTCACGTCTCAAAACTTTGAAGGACAACTGTGGCGACAATCCGTATTTTCTGATGACCTAGATTTTAAAAACGCCAGCAGAAAAAAATTTGTTAATACTGGCCAAAATATTTAGTAGATTATTTGAATTAAAGGGGATGCAAACTGTAACAGCAGTTGGTCTCACCTCCTCTAACACAGTCTGCAAGTCTGAGTCTGACAGCTCTGACAGTCAATGACTCTCATTCCACGTTCAGGGCAGGAACATAATCTGTTGAAATAAATACACAATATGTTACATAAAATAATACACATGCCAACGGATACCATTAATATAGCAAAGAATTCAACATCATTTGAAAAATAATAACCATAAATACTGTCTTTGCATAGGCTTATTCTTTCAGTTATTATATTTAATATATAATATAATTCATTACACATGAAAAAGTCTCACATGACATTTCTATGCACAATACTACTTTAAAAACATGTGAAAAGTTTGAAAAACTGCATTCGAAATACCATAAACATCCCAAAATGGAGCATTTGCATCAGATAGCAAACACTTTTTAAAAATAGTTATTGGATATACCATTTACACGAGTTGGGTAATGAATGAAACAAATGCATAAACTTACAAGGCCCCTCTGTTGTAGGATGCAGAGACAGTCAGAGATGTTTGTTCACATGGAAAGAGGAATATTTTCAGATGACTTGATAATTTGTTCTTTAAATCAGACAGACAAACTTCAGTTGCATGATATATCATAACCGAAGATAAAATGAAATGTAAATTTTTAACTTACACAAAAAAGAAAATAAGTAAATATATTGACAAGGAATTACAAGGTTAAGTTATGTTAACATTGTCATTTTTAAGGTGCTCAGAAAAAAAACAACAAGAAACAAAGACAACATGAAGTGAACTTAATTACATGAAAGAGGAAGGAAAAAACTTTTGAAATGTAACAAGGAAAAAAACCACTACTGCTGGTAAGTACTATTAACTGTTAGTGATGGGAAAAATTCATCTTTTTGCTGAATCAGATCTTTGAATAAGTTCAATAAAATCAACTAATCTTTTTTTCAGTAATTTTGTAATTTTGTTCATTTGAACTAGGCTGGTTATTGCGGCGCTGCAGCCCTCTAGTGGGCGATGTGAAAAACACAGAAGGCCGCCTGGTTTGCTTCAGTATAATGCACAAATTCACTTCTTGATCATTCTCTATCATGTTGCCACAACCAATTTCAAACCATGTAAAAACCACAGAAATATGATGTCAATAATGAATTGCCACTACTCCGGCTAAATCCATCCATTTTCACAAATGAGTATACAACCACACCAGCCATATATATACACAGTAAGAATTACTATCATTATATCTCTAAAGTGGTCATTCATACAGCAGCCTAACGTCCCTATCCATGAGTAAAATCTATTTAATAACATCAGATTTACGGGGAATATATTGAAGTAATAAGCTTGACACACTATATAAATAAACACACTCTTATTAAAATTCAACAAATTTAATAAAGATCTGGATAGGGCCATCAAGTTCTTAAAAGAACTCCAGCACAGAGGGGGGAACAAAGAAATATAAACACATAATCAAAACGCAGCAGTTTGGCAGGTCTGGATGCAGAATAAGCCACATCAGGTGTGGATTCTGCAGACAGAGAGAAACAAACATGAGCACGTCGCTCTCAAACACTGCCAGGTTGTTCAGAAGTCAAGAGCTTTGAAACAACAGCACGGGTCAGCTGTTAGCTGTAAACACACCGCAGCACTTTGTGGTTGTGTTAAGGGTGTGTTAATATTTTAATGACTGGGTCCGTTAAGGTAATTCGGCTCCTGGTAGAACCTGCCAGGGTACTGAAGTGGACCGGACCAAGAATAACTCTCATCAGCTGTTAGCTGTAAACACTAGCAGCACTAACGTTGCAGTATGGCTGTGTTAACGCTATAGCACATCATCACTGCACTGTAAAGACATTATGCTTTATTAAATGTCATATAGGCTAATTAACAAACTATCCATCTAATGTCACTCAAGTGACTGTTATGTGACAACCGGCTTGCCTTATTCTCCAGCGCTGGCAGTAACTCAGCCTGCCGAATGAACGAAAGACTCCGAGGACCCATGTTAGTGGGGAACTAAATGGTAATTCCTGCTCCACAGTGGCCGAGCTGTCATGTGACAAATACGCTCTGTGCACAAGTGTAGTGACGAACTTCGGCTGTTACCAGAAGTCGGCATATCAGTTTCTGATTTCTTCCACCCAAAATGTCAGCATTACTGTTTACCAGATGTCTCCAGGAACTGCCTAAAATAAGCATCAGCAATGTCCATCTTATTGTTGATGCCTGGTCCCCGGCTGCAACAAGCAAGCGGGACAAGGGATTTAAACTCTACATATCGAGTTATCTGCACAACTACGAGAGTAAGTACAGGAGTTTAATGTTTTGTGTAACACAGTTAGCGGCTAAGCTAGTTAGCGACAAGTCCATTTTTAGTGCAGTATAGAACGTTGTTTTCTCAATTTTAAACGCAAACTGTTAGTTCTTGTGCTAGCTATATTATCATGTGTATTCACTTTCTGTCCCTCTCAGTTTCTAGTAAAGATCAGGACACAGGTGAAGTTGTTGTCAGGGCACTGTGCTACAGGTGCATGAGGAAAACCTCACAGTGTGAGTGTATGGTGAAGCTAGGATTGATAAGCCAATAGTTACTTCCTAATTCCTAATGTTCCTCTCTATGAAGAGGGGGCTCGAATTAGAGGCAGATGCTATTTGGGAATATTGCCAAATTAAAAGAGTCAACCACTACCCCTGTGGATTTGTGATACACCCCGACTCTCCTTGGCTGGGGGCGTCTCCAGACGGGTTAATCTTTGACCCTTCAGAGCCATATCAGTTTGGGCTCATTGAGATGAAGTGCCCAAATGTTAAAACCTTGCGTTGACTGCCCATATCTCCAAATGAAGTGAGGAAAACTGGAGCTAAAACAAACACACAGTTACTACTGGCAGGTGCTACAAGGGCAGATGCTAATTACAGGAATGCATTGGTGTGATTTTGTAGTGTCAGCTGAGGAAAACGTATTCATTCAGAGAATTTACAGAGACATTGATGTTATTGATGTTATCAGAGAGAAAGTAGAGTAAGTTTATTTCTACGTCTACTTGCAGAAATGTCTGCATCAGGTCTAGGTAAATGTTTTTAATGCTGTGTTATTTTTAACTGATCGTGAATTGTTTGTTATGTTAAATTTTATGCATCTTAACTCTTTATGGTAAATGTTTTTCATGAATTGCACTGCCTTCAAAAACAAGCAAACACAATAAAAGTCTTTTGCTGCCCCAAGAAAAAGACCAGCTATTTATTTACCATTGTACTCAAGAGAAGACAGACATCTGTAGCACTGCAGATAAGAAGGATTATAAGAGTTAACTGTTAACACTTTTAAATAAACTGTAGAAACAACCGAAAATCTGTTTTTGTGCAGCCACCGCGAACGAAGGCTGGTGTCTTTCGGGAAACGGTGGAAGCTCAAATGGCTGTTATACTGACCTGAAGCTGAGCAAAGTGGCACACAGCAGTGCTCCTTCGACCCACACACAGTTCTTTGCAATTTAAAGGAGTCACGCACATTGTACTTCTTTTTCTGTATAACGGGAGAACTCATGGTCCCGTTATTTTTACCGTAGCGGATGAAAACAGGAAGTAAACCGGAAACTAGAATGCCGACTTCTACACAAAGTGGAAGTTTGTCACTACACTGGCGCACAGAGCCTATTAACGACTCAAATCCAGAGACCCACAGGGAGGCCTATGAGTCACAAACTCATGCAGCTGTCATGTGACGAGTGAACGTAGTCCAAAACCATTCACGCATGCGTGAAAATGAACAAGTTACTCACTGAGACTACTCGTTCCTCCTGAGTCATGTAAAAGATTAGGTCAAATGAATGAAAAGTTCACTAACGACACAACACTACAAGCACTGCAACAACCGCACTGTACTTTTCACTTCTGTGTGTGTTAAATTAATAAATTAGTGCTTCAAAAGTTCCACAACCATAACGAGCTCTATTCAAGGACAGATCACCATGGTTGCTGTATTTTTGTTTTGCTTTACTGTTTATTTTAAAGGTTAGCTAAATTTGCGTTAGCATATTGCGCGGCTGATGTGGCTAGGTGGTTTGGCGATGTTGGACTAATGTTGCAGTCCTGAGGGACAGTTGAGAGAAACTGTGAACGGTAAGCCTCATCTGAAGCTAACTAATTA